TGGAAAATACTCTTTTTCTGTCCAAGGGGTTTAATGAGAGGATCTAATAGCATTATTCTCTTCAGATTAAGTTTCTAGTTAGTCTTATCTGCTCACAGTGGAGGTGACTAAGGGATAGGTGAAGGAGGAGTGGTGGTCAAGTGTTGAGGATTTGCCAGGACAGATTTTTCTTTTAATGTTTGTGTTGCTTAGTTCTTGGATGCAACAGTTGTGAATCCAATTAGGGTAATTATACTTGCTTGCTATCATTTCTGGATAAGAAAAAAATGCATTTTCATCTATCAATGTCTCACAATAAATCAATCACTTTCTAAACTAATACCTGTAAATAATAATTAGAATTAAAGACAGAGAGTAAATGTTTAAAAACATATGGAAAAATAATTTCTAATTTACAGTGGCCATTAATCATGCCTACTAACCTCTTCTTGGGCCACAACTGTGACTTTTGAGTTTGGTCCAATTTCATTTACAACGACGATTTCTTGAGCAATTGGGTTAGCACTGGACACAATGGGTTGTGGTTTCTCAGGTTTATCTAAATATTCAGTTACAAGATCATAAATTGAAGTCATAATGTGTGGTGTCAATGATACTTCCATATGATCCCTTGAGTCAACAAAAATGCAGGTAGCAAGCTCTCCTGTTTCTGCATCTTCTGGGGTTAGAGCAGGACCATCCACTGCATCTAGAGTAGAAATATAAGATTAAGAAACTTTACTTATTTTCAGTCTATTATGTCATCAGACTGACAAGTAATGTGTTTATCTTTGTCTGTAAGGAAAAATAAGAAAAATTAAAAAGCAGACAATTGCTTTCATGGATATCCAGTGATCTATGGTTCCTTTCCATAAGTGAGCAATGCCTGTCCTTTTGGCTCTGAGGGGTCTGTTTTAACAAGTTTTTGCCTATCCTTAATCCTTTATATCATCACGGCAGATTTTCATTCTGACCAAAACTACACTGGCATGAGCACTACACCATGACATACCTACCTACCCACATGCATCCCCAGTCACACAAAGTATTTATATAGTACCTGGAATAAGCTGGGGGGGGTTGAAGACTCCATCAGCTTCCTCTTGAGAATCCTGTCCTTCTGCAGATGATAAAGATCTTTCGTGCCGATCCCTGACTCGCTTTTTATCATCCTCAAGTATATCATCACTACTCTCTTCTTCTTCTGATCCCTCAGAGTCACTAGAGAACATGTGGGAGAATGCACTTGATATCTTGTGTATTAATCCATCTTCAGTTTCAGAATCTGAATCCAATGGATAACCTGAGAAAAAAATTAACAATTCAATAACAGAACTATGCAGGAAAATAATATATCAATAAAATTAATCAAATGCAAAATCACTTATTTAAACCACTGCAAGTGAATATATATGTCTACCATATTAGGGATTTTCATAATGAATAAAACATTTAAGACAGCACAACGTCTAATTCAAGCTGAAGAAATGAAGAATGTTATTACACTTCATCAGTCATTCTTCAAGATCACATTTTAAGAGCTAACATTTTTAGCTATCTTGTATATGATGCAACCTACAGACCATACCATTGCCCCTTTTCTTTTATTGATTGTTGTCTTATAGTTTCAAAAAAATATTTTCATCCAAATCTAAGAGAGTTAACTTTACCTGTGAAACTTCCAAGATCTGCAGTGGAACGCTTAATGCTAGAGCGCTTGATCTTAGATGTTGCATGAGGCTTCAAAACAACCATTTCATTATCCTGGTGTTCTTCATCTGTTGAAGAATCTGAATCATCTAAAACACAGCTGATATAGCTGTTTCTGTTGTTTGAAGAACCACTGTCAACAGAATCATAGTGCGGGCCTGATCGATTGCGCTTGATGCCAATGGGCTGAGCCTGATGCTGCAGGGTGCGGATAAGAGCCTCCCATGGTCTCATCACTTTACCATCTTCACTGACTGGTTCAATGACTGGTTCCCAAGTAGAAAACTCTTTATTGTAACAAGACAGTTGTAACTGTATTTCAGCTTTAGTGTACATGAGCTTTGACCAATCATTGATCTCAGTATTCAAGGCTGCCTTCATCAAAAGCACCGGAACAGCTGACTTCAATGACTGCCTCTCAAAGGACACAGAGATAACTGAGCACCTGATAACCAGTCTCTGCTGAGGTTTAGTTGAAGGATATTCTGGTTTAATATACACTTCATCATCAGGATGTGTGGGAGAAATGTTGGCTGTAAGAGGCTTTGGAGACCAGAGGTCATCCAGGTCAGCTGTTGGTCGCTGAAGTCTAAAGGGTATCATTGGAGGGCTGAGGTTCCTCATCAGTTCTTCCACTACATTGATAAGCAAATGTACTATTGGAGGATTCAGATGAAGATGGATATGAGAGACTTTAAGTTCTGCTCGCACACCTTCCTCTACACTTCTAAATACCCAGGATCCTTCAATGTCACATGGCATCATGATGGAGTATGGGCTTTGACCATGATAAGTATACATGGTAGCAAATACTTGACATCCATCTAATGAGAAGTGGAAACTCTCATTACCTGGATGTCTGGAATAATCTACATGGATTTCACACCTCATAACCAAAACTCTGCTAACTGTCTCATCTGGGTCTGCAAAAAGTACTATCTCTGGTCTTTTAACCTTAAGTGATATGGACAGAGTCTTCTGATCATCCATATTGCTTGTGACTGTTGACAGGTAACCACTCGTGCTGTCCACTGAACTTGGAGGCCGCCGAATAATTCTCACACCATCTACAGTAGTTCCAAGGTCACCAACAAAACCTGGATTAAGAATACCTCCACTGGTACTTGCAGTACTTGGTATTGCACCATTCACATATTTGTACATTGCAATTGCAAATCCCACAGACATGTTTAGTCTTGTTCTTTCTACACTGGCCTCAATTGCTGCATCACCATTTGGACTAACTTTATACATAAGATCCATCATTGGTGGGACACTCACACTAAATCTTCCAAAATTCATCTGCATTTCACTGCTATACTGACCAAATATTTTTTTTACTGCATGACTGTTATCTGTTCTCACATCAAATAAATCAAAAGAGTGCAATGTAAGCCGTACATCCATGCTTCGGTCACTATTCATATCTCCATGCACTTCAATCTCTCCAACTTCCAAACGACACAATGCACTTGCTGCATCACGAACAGGTGAACTTAGAACTTCATCCATATCAGTATAAAGAGTCACTGTCAGCCCATCCAGAGATATGAGAGCATCAGCAATTCGGTAGATATCCACTGAATGTGTAAGAAATGCTTGCAACCGACCAACATTATCATCACCAACTACTGGAGTACCAAGATCAACTGGTGTGAGTGGCTGGGAGTGAATGTTTGTATCTGTAAATTGAGCCTCAGCCCTATTCTGTGTCATAACAGCCAAAATGGTATTGAGGTCACACTGCCCCATATTTATGCATAGAGCCCCCATGTGTATGCCAATATCCCAAGATAAAAGATCTCTGCACTGAGGTATCAAGGAACGTTTGACATCTGCTCTAATGACTGCAGGTTCTAATATATCTTCTTGCATCTCTAATCCACCACCCAAGGTCATCACAGCTCTATATATCTGCAGGGGTCCAAGCTCAACTAGAATGTTTTCTATAGCACCACCTCCTCCTCCTGGCACTGCCTTGAACAAGTTGTCAATCTTAAGATCTCCAAGATTAAACACTAACAAACTTGGAGAGTCAGACTTTTGAGGAACGAGGACTGTTGGTGCATGAATATCAATACTTAGGCTGATCTTCCTTCCTGAAACCAGCTCATCAATACTTGCCCCTGCTGCTTTTTCTGCATGCTTAAAAGCAATCTGAGTTCCCTCTCTGTTCAACACTGGTTCCATGAACCTTTGGAGGTCTGCAAAGAACTTACAGAGGAACACACACTGTACTCTTCCAATTCTGATCCTGAGTGATGCATCAGGATTTATGCCATGTGGAGAAGTGTCAATTTCTTCAACACCTTTATGAGTTGGACTGAAGTGAACCAACTTTATGTCAAATACTCTATCTTCCTCTATTTCAATTATTCGTGGATGGAGAGTCATATCTGAGAGATCATCTACAACCAACTCTAATAGAGATGCTCGAAGAATTTTCTTTTCATTAGCCTTAAAGACACATTCACCTTGTAGACCTCCAATCTTTGCTTGTAAAAATTCAACCTCATTATCACACAGTTTCAAGCTGAGAGTATGGAGATGTGTAGCAAAGGACCACTTGGTTGCCCCTGATGGAACAGGAGGATCCTCTGGCCCCGAAGTCAGCCATGTCATGAAGCTGTTGGGGATACTTACTTTTGGTATCTTTTGCTCAATATGCCCTAACTTAGCTGACAGTAATGTAAGAAAATTGGTTAGTGTTATAATAGAACCTCTATGCCACACTAAATTCAGTGTTGAAAAATCAACAACTAAGCTCTGTTCACATGAGTGAAAATGAGATTTGAAATCTGGACAATTGGCACGTACTTTGCGATACAATATAGTTGCTACACATCCAGTCTGTGGTGATGAGACCAGCTCCAAATATTCCCCAGTGGGATTATGATGATACTTATCAACAAGATGAAGAGAACTCAGAGTAACTTGTACCGCTGGTCCATAATCCATCATGGCTGACTCTACTACAAGATGTGTAGCTCTCACCATCAAATAAGGTCTTTCCCCATGTTCATTTGAGCGTGATATGCCTACTACAATTTCATCTATACAAAAACGTGACAAAATAGTAATCATATTTTTAGGGGATGTGTTGTCTTCAAACCCAGGTACATCAACTGGTTTTCCCCAAGTCTCTCCTTCATCATCACTGTTATCTGAAGCTGAGAAATATTTTTCCAATTCAAGACTTGTTTGAGAAATTGTGTCAACTGATGAGAGAGGCCTTACATGTCTGAGTAGAGGAGGTGTTGCATGCATATCTGTATTATCAGGTATCAGTTTCTTCTTAAGACGGTTCAACAAGTTATCTCTTATTCCCAACAATTCAGACACATTTGGTTCTATTAAGCAGTGCTGAAGATCTAGATCCTGTCTTGGTAATCTTCCATTGTCGACAGAATCTGGAATAATCATTCCTGAATGCAGTACAGGCAAATGATGAGCAAATTCTACAAGATGACTTAAGCGGCTGTCTGATAGATTCAATTTCAGAGGTGTAATGTGGATATCTATCTTCTGTCTTGGCTGTTGTCGATATTCAGGATGAATGCTATTGGCCAAATCAACCTTAACTCTTACTCTAGGCAGAAGGTGAGAATCAGAATCATCACGTGTTCTGTGGACCCGCCACTCATCACCTGAATCAGCAAACAGTACTTGGAGTTGATTTACTGTAATGGTTAACCGATCGTACAGACGTTCTTCAAGTTCCATCCTTGTTGCATCCTCCAAATCAACAGTTTGGCCTCCTATCTCACTGTTGACCTTTAGTCCACCCATATCTAATACTAACACATTGCCTCCTTTCTGTATTGAACCATGTTCTGGCAGTACAATATATGGGCTCTTTATATCTATATCCAAGTTGACAGTCTTGTGTCGCGCAATTGCGTATTCAACTGCTGCTCTGCCAGTATTGACCATCTCATTGAGGGTATCCCGGGCCACTTCTTCAAATCCTCTGTACTTTTTGTGAGGAACTCGGAAGAAGTAAACGATCTCTGCACAAGCATGCTGAAAGAAAATGTAAAAAAATTATATAATCCTTGTAAAAAAGTATTAGTAAATTAAAACATTAGCTTGTTTTACATAGAAAATCTCTGTAAGATATAACCCAACATAACTATCATTAATATGACAGCCAGGCCTTGTATCGCTTGTGTGTATAATATAAATAACATTACTTCATAATCACTCAGATTACTCAACAATGTACCTGCTTTTTCACAATAAATCTAAATAAATCACTGGATGACATTTACAGTACCACTTTGATAGTAATGTATTGTAAATGCATGTATGAAAGCTAATTTCAGCATCTCTCCAGACTACTATTATTTGTCCATATCCAGAAAGTCAATTTTTTGAGCTCTCTCTAAGTTTAGCAACATCTAAGTTATCAATTTTCTCTATATGTAATTCTACAACCTTTGTATTAATAAGGAAAGTATTTACTAAAACAATGTAATAAAGGAAATCCATGTGACAAATTGGTACAGAATGTTACAAACATGAGGGTTTGTGATGCTATTATTCCTCTTTATGCTATACCTCGAATCAATGATGGCTTATCATAGCAGGAAATAAACATTACTGCTTTTCTTCTTTCTGAATATCAAGACCTAGTCTTCAAATTTCATCTGACCTCTGAAAAGGATGCATCATTTGCTAAAAATAATCCCTGAACTGAAGAATGTAGAAACTATGATGAACCATCGCAACAGTTTACAGAAGAGAAAATTCTAGATTTCTATCTTAAAACCTCTATAATGAACAAAAAACTACTATTCACCAAGGCTAACTGCATTGATGTCGTGCTGAGAGCATTTACTACTAGGCAGATTTGTCTAGATTCCCTTATAATATCCAAGTACACTTTATGCTTGACAACTCATAAATTGTGGCACATACAGGACACAGAAAATTACATTTTGTGCAATTCTTGTCATCCACTTGCACTCTTTTTGTTCCAGCTTACTATCATAATGAATAAGGATGATATATTTTGTTGAATAACTTAATAACTTAATAAAATTGATAACTGATGCATGCAAGTTATTCATGTTGCAAAATTAGCAGAAGGGAATGGGTTCAAACTATAGCTGTATATACTAAATTATTATTTGCCTGCTGTATCTTAAAAACATTTTAATGTTTAGGCTTGTCAAATTTCTCTTCTTTTTTTAAGTAAAAAAATCCTTTTTGAAAATTTCATTTACTTTGTACCACTTAAAGATGATCAAGTAAACTTTATTACCATAAGGCTTCTCAGCTTACAATCATATATCATAACTATCAAAAATCATCCAATATTTTCAGGTCATACAATCAATTAGATGATGTTTGGTCTCATTCGTATCCAATAACCATTCAAAGAATTTCATATCTTAGAAAACCCTTCTTTTCAGTCAGAAATAAAATCTAAATACACAAAATAATTTCAGTGGCATTACCTGGTTATATAGCAGCTCCAGTGGATCTAATTTCATTGTTACTGCATAATCTGACCCGACATTCATTGGATTTCGTTCGAGGTCAACCGAAAAAGCAATGCCATAACCTGCAACCCAAAACAGCAGATATAAATCTTTTGCTTTTGTAACATACATAGGTTAAAAAGTAAATCAAAATGTAACATACACCATGTGAAGAATTATATCTGGACTAAATCAAGGAATTTCATAAACAATACCGATTGTGAAGAAAAAGAACAAAGATGAAAAAGGTTTTCCATCTCTTAGCCTTTTATAATGCCAGCAGCAATAACAACAATAATAATGACCATAATAATAACCATTCTCT